TTAAAGTAAGACAGTTTTGAATCCTTGGAGAATCAGCAATGGGTTGTTCTCTAGATWAGAAAACATACAATTTTTATGATTTTATTTACATGAGAAAGTGACCAATGTGATATGATTGGCATGACAGTGATGAAATTACACTCCCAAAAGGGACCAATCAATAACCTGTAAATATTTTGATTCTGATTCTTGATGTAATTTCTGCTTAACATCAAATGACATCTGCTCTTATAAGTTTATGACAACATTATTATAGTAACATTGTTGTTGAGTGATTTATTATACTTTTCCTCCCCTCCCTCCCTGAGAATGGGGTGGATGCATGGATGGATAAGGTGGAAGATATCAATGTTTATTTTTTTTCGGTCTGGTACCCTAGTCATTTGTGCGCTCTGATTGGCTATCATGTGTTCCAGTATTTCACAATCTGCCTGGTCCACAGTATCCTGCAGCTATAGCTAATACTCCAATTTCGAGTTCTGCTTTGCTCTGTGTTAGCCTCAAAACGAAGTAACATATTCTTTTGTTTCATTGATAGGCCGAGAAAACGCATGGAATTTGAAATGAAAAACAATAGAATTGATTTGAAATCTCACACTTTTATTCTCACAGCTAGGAATATTTTGCGCACAAATGAGGCTAACACAGAGCATTGGAGAATTCGAAACTGGATTATTAAGTACATACAAAAAATTATAAGTGAATAAAAAAATGTTATTTGCCAGCTATAGGGGTCGGTCCGTATAGGGAAAACACTGCTCTCGTCTCGTCTCTGCTATAGGTCGGTCTGTATAGAAAAACATGCCCTCGGTCTTTTATGAATGGACCTCGCTGCGCTTGTTCCGTACTGTCAAGACCTCAGGAAGTGTTTTCCTATACGGACCTCCCAGCCAGTAAATAACATATGTATGAACACCATTGAATGGATTAGTTTTTATTATCATTGAAACTCACCTGTCATTTATCCATAGCGAATCCCTAGGGAAATCGACACCAGCAACAACAGTTGTAGTTGTACAAAGCTATAGTTTTAAAACGAGAAAATACAAAGTAAACCAAGTTTATAATAATACCTTATTGGATATACAATAATGCAAGTCAAGACATCTTTAAAATTACTTATAAACTTAGGAACTTACTTCTTCCCAGTTCAAAGTGACACTCAACGATGAATTAAGAGGAAGAATCAACTTTTCATCTCTTTTACCCCCTAAAACAAAAATAAAAGACAACTTTAACTACAATTTTAAGTTAAGCTTAATATCAGGAGCCTTTTCTCCGTTAATAGCACAAATATTTCAGGAAACTATTTCTAATACATAAATGTTTTTTTCCCATTTAAAATACTCACAGTATTTGACAACAGCAATGTTGATCGGTGCTCGTGCAGTCAGTCGATAACAACTCTTGTTTACTRTTCGTCTTTTTTYACGAGGTTCTTCATCGTCCGCCATATTGGCTGTCAAAGCTATATACCTCATGTAGGGAAAAGACTGCTATATCGTATTGGGCCGAAAACCGAAAGATATCTT